ATTACACCACCGCCAAGTTCAAAACACTCATGTCATGTTATATACACTCATGTCCATAAATTAAGGATAATGTAAAAATCAGGCAAAGGAAGAGTTAAAAGCAAAACAAATTTGACTTATTTATAAAGCTTATTTATTAAACAAAAAGTAAATAGCAAAAAAGATGCTATATGTTTGATATTGTTAAAAAATAGCGATTTTTTCTCCCTGGAGCAAATTACAAAAAAATACCTATTTACAAAAAACCAATATTACATGGTTGGTATAATTGTTAATACATTGTATGTCTCCCAGATGATGCAATACAGTCCGTACAACGCTTAGGCATGCTGAGTATGAAATTATCGATCTGATCTTGGGGGATATTACACCACTCAACCGCAATGCTCTCCGAAGTTCCTGTAGACATGTAGGAGGAGGTTGACGGGCTGCAACTCGTCGGCCAAGCATGTCCTACACGTGCTCTCCAATTGAAGGCATTCGCTTGCGATGTTTGCACGGTGAAGACGGGCGTTGTCATCCATAAACACAAATTGTGCGTCCACGGCAGCCCGAAACAAACATAAATGTTGTTCCAGAATGACGTCCCAATAGATTTGGCTTGTCATGGTTCCAATTTGAACATGCAGGTCAGTTCTGGAACCCAGAATAATTCCACCCCAAACGAGCACTCCTGCACCACCGTAACGGTGTCGTTCAATGATGTTTTTTCTTGGTGGTAACGAATACCTGGAGCTCTCCATATGAAAGTCCGCGAGAATCAGACTGCAAGCTAAACCTGGACTCTTCGGAAAACATCACAGAAGCCCACTGTTGCGGTGTCCACAATGCATGCTCTCTCTACTCCAGGCAACCGCAGGCGACAGTGAGTTGCAGTAAGTGGAACGCATCTGGCAGGTCTACGAAGCATATAACCAATCAATCTGCCCTAAGCGTCTGTACACGGTCTGACTTGAAATTGTCGTACCAGTGGCTGAAGAGAGCTGACGAGACAAGTCTGAGGCTGTGCTCCGCCTGTTTCGTTTGGCAGTAACTGCCAAATACCGGTCCTCATTCGGCGTTGTAACTCTGGGGTGACCTGCGCTGTAACGTCTACTCACATTACCATCATCTTGGAATCGTAAAAGCCTGGAGATGACACTCTGGGCAATTCCAAGTTCGTCTGATACTTCCAGTTGAGTACACCCACATTCCAGACAATTCTACCACGTAAAAATCATCCAAATGCGTCGTTTGTGTCATAAGGATTCGGTTATTGCACTGAAATGCTTTTAAAACGCCTGTGAACAATTTTACTTCTTTGCCTATATTCCTTATATATCACTCTCTTACACTCTCGTCATTGTGACGTACCACCGGTGTCATGTGGTTACTTCCTGAAATTTGCATATGATTCTTGAAGATGTGTGTAGTGACTATACAGGTGATATATTTATTTTAGAGTTCGATTTAACCTGTGACTCCGAATTATCCTTAATTTATGGACATGAGTGTATATACATATATAATCAAATGAAATAAAGGGGGAATACTCCTATTAAAATTCCAATAAAGTAAAAATTACAATAAATTCTAATAAAGTAAAAATTAAGAATGAAAATAAAGAAAACTGAGATTCTTAATTTTTACTTTATTAGAATTTATTTATCTTTTCATACATTTGATTTCGTTTAATTAAATCGTTGCAGCCTAGGCGCAGGATTCTTAAGTAGTCCTTCTTTAATTAAGACACAATAACACGCCGAACAAATACTAATTCAGAAGTTATAACTTTCTTGTCTAAATCTTGCTTATTATGTGTTCCATTTAGTACGTGCTCCTTGATACGTGTTTTGAAGTCGCTGAGCATTTCTTTTTCCGTTCTAGGTAAGTCGTAGTGTGTAAGTTAAGTCTTATAGCTGGAATATACTATGAAAGTTTCTAGATCTTTTTCTAATTGTTGGATGCATAATGTTTTACTAACTTTGAAAGTGAGTCGAAATTTGGTGCCGAGATTCATTAATTGCCTTAAATTTCTATCTTCTAGAATTTCTAAATTTCCCGTATAATATGTTGGTGATGTTGATCTACATATGGGCTGTATTCTGGGAGTTTGCAGTTGCAGGTATACGGAGCACATTTGATCTCATGGTGGTTAATTGTTAAGCTACTTAGTGTTCTTTCATATCGATAGCTTTTTTCTATGAAAGATATCATATCGATATCTTTCATATTGATCGCCTGTACTTTGTCAGGAAACAGATGTTGCTATAGTTTAAAGACCTTATTAATTTTTGATCGGTCATAAACGGGATGCTTGAAGTGGATAGTACAGAAATGTTTATTTTCAAAAGATTTGTTGCCGTTTAGTTTGTATTTATAAAAGTCTGTTATAATGTCTTTTAATAGTTGGAGGCCTTTATACTTAAATTAAAAGTGGTATAGCAGTTGCTTAGGGATTTCGTGTTTGAAAGTGTGAAGTAAATTGATAATGCTGTTGGTGAAAAAATGTTTTTGAAAAAACAAAATTTGAAATTTAGTAAACAATTTTTCAAAATATAAAGCAAAAAATTTAATGATTATAATTTTACTTCTGTTTCCTTCTTTTGTTCCTCTTACTGTTTTTGTACAAAATCTTCCAACTGGACTATAAACTGAATTGTCTTTATTTCTTAAATTATTCTAAAGATAAGAATTGAGTCCGTAAGCGTACAGTGTTTTATTTTGTAATATGTAAATAGATTCCTTAAAAAATCTTATTTTGGGGTTGAGAACAATATCCAAAGTAGCATTACTTATTTGTTAAAAATCGTGCAATTGAGAATGTTCAAGAATAGCCGTATTGTTATCAGCATATTTCGTTTGCTTATGAGGCGGAATTTTTTAAATTTTTGAGTGTGAGCTCGGTGGTTATAAATCCTAATGTTGAGTTTGTTCTTGGTTTGTCCAATATAACTTAAGGTACATTTATTTGAAGTGATTTTTTAAATACAATTAAATGTTTTTCAAAGTGTTTGTTGCTTTTTAGCGAGAGAAGAAGTGATATTTAACTTTATAGTTAGTCGTTGTGGAAGGAAAACTAAAAACCTAAAAATTGTCCATTATTAAAGGGAAAAACCTTGCAAATTGACCAATCGGAAAATAATAAAAAAAATCCTTGAAAGGAAACAGGAACATTAGCGCTGAAAGCTGCCAATGGTAGAATTACATAAATACAAAAAGAAACATAAGAGGCTAAAATTAAAAGCACATTTTTATACCCGTCCTGCATTATAGCTGCAGGATTGAAGCAAAATAGACTTAAAGATTCTAAAGTTAAAAGTAAATTGGAGTCAAAGCAAGGTTATTCCTCAACTATATTAATATTAACAATCGTGTATAAGAGGCGTAATACAAAATCCAAACATATCAAAATTAAAATAAGAATTCATAGTAGTACAAACTCTAAAAATAAAAAGAAAAATGCAAAAGGGAAAAAAAGTACAAGATAAAAAAATACAAAAATAATATAAAACTAACATATAATCCCCTTTTACTGAAACTCCGATTGAGAACTAACTCATCAAGGGAAAATAAACTAAAGCTTCACAAATGTCGATTAATATGTTTCTAAAACGTGTTTTGTTCTCCTGGTTCATTTGAGATTAAAAACCGAAAAAAGAATCTATTAAATTTTCATTTAAGACACTAAAATTCACATAAAACCTAAAGTTCGAATCTCAAATGTACCAGGATTTTCAATACATGTCTTCGAAACACTTGCTAAAACACATTAAACATAACATTGTGCTAAATTGACTACTCAGAAAACCGCAAAACTTTACATTATGTAAAAAGACCATTCAAAAAATCCAGTTGGTCTAAAATCATTATATGCAAATCCGAAATCCAAAAGCAAATAGATATAAATAGTAAAACTAATATACTTTAAACCAAATTTTCTTTTAAACAACACTTAAAAATTGGGTGGTTCCCGATTATGCTAAACTAAACTGTTAATGCCAAGAAAACGAAAAACGTTTTGCAAAGATTCTTTAAATAATAAAATCAAATCTGAGCTTTATGAGCTAAAACTGGAAACCTATCGAAAAAAAAAATTGAAATTACGCAAACTTATCTATAATCTTAATTTACTTTTCTAAATGAAAGTATGCTTAATTCCACAGACGATTAAACTGTGTTCTTTGCGAATTCATAGCTGTCCTGTAGAAGCAAAAAATTATAGTTTTTGGAAAAAGAATGCGATAAGGTTATTAAGTGTCTAATAGCAGAACTAAGTATGTGTTCAAAATGTCCTATCCTGTTAAACTTTGTGTGCAGGGGAGCCAAATTTTCGGTGCGGTCTGGAAAAATTATTATCTTCGAAGAGGGTGATCGTCGACTCCAAAATGGTGGCAGAAGAAACTCCCACAAGATGCTGTCTTCTGTAAAATCTTAAAACGCGAAAGGAGTACTGGCTCAAAGTTGAGGAAAAGGAAAAATATATGTTATAAAAGATAAAAGTCTTCACGTAAATCGCGTACAATACGTCTTAGAAACAAAAACCCCATTTTGTTAGTAAAGGCTATCAGTGTTATATTTTCAAATTTTCACAGAAAAACTTGTTGACTCACAGAAACTTTTGTTGTTTGACTTCTAAATTAATACTTGTTCGGCGTGTTATTGTATCTTAAGTATAAATGATAATTGAAAGGGAAAAGAAACAAGTTATTTGTACATATTTACATTAAATTTTTTTATCTTAGTCATCCAACTATTACCTCCTGTTAAGATTTAAGTAATAATTATCACATCGCTTTAGATGAGAAATGAAAAAAAAAAGAATTTAATACCAGCTTTCTTTAGAGTTATATAAATTTTGAGTAGAGGTGTTTGATCTCTAAGAGAATTTTAACTTAGTGATTTTTTCTTGCAGGTATTCGACTTATAAAATATTTTTTTGCGAATACGACATCCTTTTTTTACCTAAGATAAGAGATTTCATCATTCACGAATTAAGAAACTCAGGCAAAGATACGGCGTTATGTATAATAAATAAGATTTATTCATAATAATAAAAAAGTACATTTAATTGAATTAATAATTCTTCATAGTGATTCCGATTCCTCATTTTCTAATAAATAGGATCTCATGTCTCTCTTTGGATGCGAGTTATAAATTCTGAAAACTCTTAAGGCTAGTATTACAAGTATAATACCGAAAATTCCGATTGCGATACCGACAATTCCACCAGTCGTTAGGTTTTTGTATATACCTAGAAAAGAATAACAAAATACATTTTGAACATTCAATTTAACAAATTCTTACATTCTTAAATTCTTCATGATTTATTTTGTGAATGTTGCAATGAATGTTTTTAAACTTTTTTTATAACTTTAAGGTAATGCATAACGATAGCACAAGCAAATTTCTTAAACCTGCTACTATTACTTACCTTAAACCCTGATGTGAATTTGTGCACAAAATTATGCTATTAAACATTTAAATAAACTTATTTAATTATTTTAAATGAGAATCGGCAGCTCAACAAGAGTCACATAAAGTGTCTTCGTTCCGGTGGAAAAGTAGACCGTTTACTTTATTTACACGCCATATTCAAAATATATAATATACTTTTCTTATTTTTTACATTATTTACAAAACTTATAATGTTTACCTCCATTTTTATATAATTTATAAAGTTATTTCCACATTTCCTGTTTGCTAAAATACAACTAAATTACTATAAAACTACTAAAATTATAGGTTATTTAATTTGTTTATTTTATTACATTTCCTAAACATTAATTTAATTATGCAATGAGTCTCAAATTCTAAAATTAAATTACATTTTCTATCAATAAATAACTCTAAATGTTAATTAAGTTTTTGTTTACATTTACCCGCTTTTTATTATCAGCTCTTTCTATTTTATAATAAATAAAAAAATCATAGGTTATTTAAATTGTAAGAGATATATGACATTGCTTCATCTTACAAATTAATAATTTAAATAATGATGTCATAAATAATTGCATAGATACTATTTTATTCTCGTTGTAGCGAATCTTTAATTTATGGATAATTTCGTTTTCTCCGGTTAGTATTCTATATTTACTTTACTTACTTTAGTTTAATATTATTTATTGCTTATATCATATTTATTATTCTTAATTCTTTGAATCTAAGCCTTAAATATTTCGTTTTTTCCCTAGAATTTTGCGAACATATAGAAAGCTGAGTTTCCACCGAAAGCGTTTTTCAAGTCTGCGAGTCTTTCCCAAGCTAAGGAGTGGCCATTACGTCATCAAAACGCATTGTAGTTAGATTTTTCTATTTCTTAGTTTTTAGTTATATATAATGTTGTAATATTTTACTATTATTCGTTTTTATTATTGCTTATATTTTATTAAGGCCCTTAATTATTGCTGTTTTTTCATAGTTTTATTATTTATAGAATTTCGGCACTCTCTGAATAACCGCACCTGCACCTAAAATTCGCGAGCTCTTTCGCGACTCTGCAGAAAAATTTTGCGGGTACATTAATGTCTGTTTCAACGATGCATGATGCATTCAATACCCCTTTTTTTTGGCATTCTTCTTTTTCGAACGAGAAGAACAATTCTCGATTTTTTGCACAGTTGTTCTTCCCAGGTACGTACCGATTTGTTTTCGCTAAAAAATCAGAGAATTTCACGAACTTGTCATCGTGCACCAAAAAGGCTGTACCTAGAGCCATCATATTTTAATATATATAGTGGCGTAGTTCACATGAACATGTGAAACTCGAAACCCAAATTTTGAATTTTTAAATTCATTTTATGATTTGTGCGAACTTATGAAACTTTCATTAACGAACTCAGCGATTTGAAAGAAATACACTGCCCCTCGGCTAAGCGTAAGATGTTTGTCTTTCAAATTTAACCAACAATTTAAGTGATTTAAAAGAAATAAGTAGTCATTGCCAGAAATACATTACTTTTGTCCTACACATTCCTGTGTGTTGCCTTTCGTCAAAACGTAAGATATTTAACATTTCTTCCAGAATTATTCTGTCTGTTATTTATTATCAAACTAAGGAACTAAAAAGCAATAAACGTAGCTCTTCATCTCTGTTTATTAGTATGGATTAACTATAGTCGCGAGATTCAGTAGCTGCACTTAGTAAAGTCGTTATATATATTTTCCTGTTCATTACAGCTATTTCAGGTGGCTAACAGCTCAAGCTGATAATATATTGAAAATTAAACTAACCCCGTTAAAATGTACTACATTAATGAATTGGTTAAACAATATACCCTCCCCTTTCCGAAAACAGAAATATAGAAGTAGGTTAGAATAAATCATGTAACCTGCTAAGTATTCTTTAAGTCCATATAAACCAACTTATAAATATTTGCAAGCAGTAAAACAAATAATAATACATTTCATTAACCTAAAGATTGTAATTAGCCCCAAGGTTTAAACAACAAATAATAAATGAAACTAAAAACTTAAAAGTCACATGAGATGTTACGTTTGAACACAAGGAAGTGAGGATTTGTTGCATACCCATTTTAGCTTTTCAAATGGAAGGAAAATGAGTTGTCAACTATTGGAAACTCAAATAACGAGCTATTAAGGTTAATCTTTGAAATATGGTAACTTGGCGATTTTTTGGCGAAAATTTGGCGACCAACCCTGCTACAGCAACCTGCTAGTTTTTGTTTGAACGCCATTTTGTTTTTACGAAGTAAAGGCAATTTTTTAATTTTTTTTTTTTACTCACATTTTTTTCCACAATCTGCTAGCCGAATTACGCTTATGCTAGAACTTTTATGGAACAAAAGTGCTTAATCATGATCAAAATTAGATGAAATGGGAGAAGAATAAATCGAACTGCTACCTCGTTTTAAGAATTACACATACACGGAAATCCATGTACACGTCGACCTATTTTCACTTAAAAAACCATCCCAGAATGAACAAAAATGGCATTGCGCAACTCTTGACTTTATCCATATATACTGCTAAAGTCCTAGCTAGTAACCTTTATCGCCATACCAAAATGTCGCCAAACTACCTGTTACCATATTCCAAAGATTAGCCACTATTAATTCTAATACAATCCTAATTCTAAAAGTAACACCTTAAAAAAATTAAATGTTTGGATTCTATATTTCAGAGAGTTTCCGATTACATGAAATTGAGTTAAACAAGTAAAGGAAATAATATATTAAACTTTTTAACACTTTAAAATAGTATCTGAAAAGAAAAAAATACTTTAATGTTCGCAGAAAAGTTATTCTTATGTTACCAAAATAGTTACCAAAGTGTTATTTAGAAAACTAAAGGCAGACAGGAAATAGTTGGTACCCAAATATTATTATATGTATCATACGGTTCATTATGAAGTTATTATTATTATTACTACTTTCCATTAAAATTCACCTTTTAACAAAGAATTTTTCTACCAAAACTATTCTACTCACCTTGATTAGTTGAATTAATTGCCATGCCGTCAACAAAACAGTCTGAAAATAAAATAAAACGAAGTAAATTAATAAAATAAGCAAATGTAAGAAAACACGATTAGCGACTGAATTCATGCTGGTTTATCAAATACTTTTCAGTATGAAAAAAGTGAAGCTAAGGCTCAGTTTCCTCCACTACGTACACAATTTTATCATCTAAGCAAAATAATTTAAATTAATTTTTTTTACAAAAGAAAGTATAAGAATGTTATGGTACTGTCTAAATTTAGATACTACTTCTTTTCAAATTTATTCCTTATTTACTGTTTAGAAATGATTTTGAAAACATAGTAGCGTCAGAAGCATAAGAAGAAATTAATAATAAATGCTTATTATTTATAAAATGAATAATAAAAGATTAATAATAATAATTATAATATTAATAAGCCATCACTCTTCTTAAAAGACACTTTCTGAGATTAGTATCACTTTTGAGTCATCCGCTGTCAAGAAATTGTAAAGGCATTGCAAACTAAGTATCCGAGTAATGAGAACACTTAAAACTGTTTGGGAAAATAACTGAACCATTAAATTCCAATTTTATTACAATCACTCATATTGCTTGAAAACTTTTCTGATTCAAAATGTTAGGGTTAAAGGAGAATTAAGACTGTTGCAGAAGAATTATGGCTAGTTTATATAATTAAAAAGAATAATCATGTAAAGAAGTGAAAAGGATAGTGATTCCTTTAGAGGAAACTACAGCTGCTGATCTAATGAGAAAAACAGAAAGTGGGGAAAATGAAATTAGACGCTCTATGCATTCAGTTGGAGGTTTAGAATAAGAAAACGGTTTTAAATATTAATAGTGAATTACTGAACAAAGCAAAGATTCTTAAAAATTCAATTAAACTACCTGTAAAGTGGTGATATTTGCTCTTGCGAAACTGGAAGTTTGAAGCTTTAAGAGAACAATAGGTAAATACATGACTCTCCTCGGAAAGCCTGAAGTATTATGAATCCATTAAGAAGATATTTCTCAGGCAATAGTTTTCCAATGAACTTAGAAATAGAATTTGATTGTTACATTATGCATATAAATTAAAAAGGAAATCTTTTTCTGAGGAGTAGCTCAAATATAAGAGTAAGAATTCTGCAATCATCCTACGGAAAACGATTCAAGGCATGTTCCAGTACTGTTTAACCATAACAACAAATGATGAAAATACATCTGAAAATATGAAATCTGTGCTTAATTAAATCACTTTTTCTGAAGTCAGAACCGACGGAAGAGTAACTGAGACTCCTAGGAAAAGGAAATTGAGGGGTACCTACATGTTATTTTCATGCTTGTCAATGGCGGATTTATGAGGCAAGAGTGATTATGAAGATTTATGAGGTATAACTTAAACTTTTGTGTGCTCTTCACCTTAAGACCTAGGGTATGATTACTATTTTTCTCAGTCTGATACTGCTCTCCTTTAAGCCTAGAGAAGTGATTTCGGGTTCCCTTTGAAACGGAGTATGTCGTGATTTTGATTTGAGTAATTAAATAAATCTGCTTTTCATATAGCTACAACCGCAAGCATATACACATGCAGATGTTTGCAAAATTAACATCACTATGAAAGTTTCAAAAACCTTTATTAATTAAGAGTAATAAATTTGTGGATATGCACTTGCAAAACATTGCAATAACAGTAAAATAAGCTGCGGAAGCTGATTTTAATCTTGCAGGTACAATTTCAAATCTAAAAAAATATGACATTTATCAGAAGCTAACATGAATCTCTTTGAATGCATTTTTAAGGGAGAAAATTAGAAAATTCATTGTCAGATACGGTATTTTCTGTTTTCTATAGAATATTTTTTCCGACCTATATCATCTCATTTCCAGTTTCGGGCTAGGAAGGAATTATTATTTAATTTCGGGGTCTTACTGATATCAGAACGAAAACGATTATGCGATATTTAAAAAAAATTTAATCAAATAATTTCTTAAATAAAAATCGGGAATTTAAATTTCAACTTTCTTTTACAGCACCAAATAGCAAACAGTAACTGTAAAAAAAATATTGGGTTTTGATCAAAAGCAGAATAACAGAAATGAGGGACCTGAAGGCAACTGAATTCTCTGAAAAACGAATTAAGAGCTTTATAGAAGTCACACTGTGGAATTTCAGCGGTCAAAAACAGGAATAAATATCTCAGTTCATAGAACGGGAATTTAACTGAGAATGTTAAATGGCCTACAGGAGACTGATAAATTCAATGAATTCTAAAGAAGGCAGTTAATATCTTATAAAAGAAACCTTTGCAGCCACTACATCTGCGAATGAAACTAAGATGAAAGAATTTGATTTGCGGCATCAAGTGAACCAGTTAAAGCAAGATTTCTTTCCTCAATAAGAAACAGCTGATTTATTAATTTTGTTTCCGTTACTCTTTTCAAGTGATTCAACGTAAGTTAATTTAAATGCATATTTTGAATAGACAGTACTATGTTAGATTTCAATGCTTGAGTAAAAAAGTAAAAAAAGAGTAAAAAAAAAAGAAATAGCTTACATTTTAGCAAAGAAGATGCAATGACTAAATCCATCTTGCAATAAAGTTGAAGAACAATTTAGTTTGAAACTGAAGGATCAATCAAACTATTTTTCAACAGAAGAAAGCACGTGAAAGTATTTAACAATTTTCCCAAACATCTATTCTTTTGCATAAATCGTTGGCGGAAGAGTCCTATTATGTTGCATTAAATTTGCAACAAGTACATTTTGCTGTTAGAAAGTGTAGAAATAAACTTCATCTCACTAACAGAGTTGGCCGTTAATTAAACCTAAATTAAACGGAAGTAGTAAGATTTGGCTTAACGCAACGATGTCGCCAGAAGGCAGAACACTCTCTACTAAACTCTTCTACTAAAGTCCAGTTCCCGCTGTCGCCGTTGCTAAGTATGCAAGCTGTACTACAGCTATCGTAACATAGGTGCTTCAAGGAGCTATTGCAAGTACAAAAAGGCTTGAGTGGGTCCACAGAACAGGATGAAAGTTGGTGACTCCTTTGTCAAGCGAGGGATGTGAAAAACATTTTACAGAATTAAACAGTACATAAAACAAAAAATACACACTTTTCCCAGAAAACAGACCACTATTTACAAGTATATGCCATGCTAAAATATCAGAAAATGCTACAAAAATTAGGAAGAAGATTTAGAATACTTTCACAATGAGGAGTTGTAATAACAATTTTAAATCCTATGTAGGAGAATTTTGGTTTTCGTTTAATATAACAGCTGGGAAAGGGCGCAAGTGTCGATCTTCTTGCAGAATTTCATAGCTGAAGAGATTGAAGTGATTCATAATGTTGCAGTTTTGTGCGTCCTGGTAGAATTGCTTATTAATCTCGTGTAAAATCTTCGCAAAAGGTTCTACTTTGAGGTCATTATGAAGACACTTATTCCTAAAAAGTGGCCATCTGTGATAATACGCAGGTATCTGTTCTGTCTACTTGTATTTTATTAAGTTCCTGGTGAGTAATTTACGTGCAGACCGCTGAAGTATAGGTCAATATTGGCCTAATAACAGAAAGATAAATGAGTCTCTTCTTACCCGATTCTAGTGATGAGTATTTTCCAATGCTAGGATAAAAAAAATTAATGATTTTTTAGAACTCTGTCTCGTACGTTATTAACGTGGTGAGTCCATGTGAGGCGATCGTTAAACAATATTCCAAGGTATTTTGTTTGAGAGACGACAGGAACATGTTCTTTGAAAAACGTAAGTCCTTTTTTAAGTGAAAGATTCCTTTTTCGTTTCCGAATAATCAGAAGTCGTGATTTGGACGCGTTGATTTGAACTTTCCACTGTTCACACACCATTTTTCAATGTGAGGAATGAAGTTTTGAAGTTTGCCGGCAGCATGATTGACATTTGCGGATTTCGCCGCTAATGCAGTGTCATTCGCATAGCAGCATAAATAGAATTATTTTGCTGAATTTGTGGGAAATCTGCGGCATAAAATAGCACTTTTCCATTCCAATCCCAAAGCACTTTTCCATTTCTTTGGAAAGTAGGAATGAAACATACATGCATTTAAAATGCTTATCAATTTACAAACAATATTAGGACTCAGTTTCTTGATCACAGTGTTTGTTAGTCCATCATTTCCAGGCGCTTTACGCGGCTTTAGTTTTTTAATTATTTGTGAAACTTCGGGAGTGGCGACTTTTGGAATAGTTTTAGCAGCAGAAGGTGAATTAAGCGAGTCACATACACGTAGTAATGTGAAAAGTTCAAAGTTTCTATCACCTAGCCATTCATTTGGCGTAAGTTGTGTTTCTACTCGTAAGTGCTTAGCGAATATATTTGCTTTATTTGAAGTAGCCACTTTTCCATTGTGATAGAGTGGGCATTTTGAGACATAATTTGATTTAAGGTTTTTAATTAGAGTCCAAAAAAAAAAAAAAAAAAAAAAAAAAAAAAAAACACCATCTTGAATGTTGAGTATTGAAAGTTTTTCGCTCCACATATCTTCCATATGCAGTTTCACAGCTTTTTTGATATCCTTATTGAGGTGATTTACAGTCCTCTTGGCGACCGATCTCACGTGAGATGATAAACTTTTCTTAGACAGTTTCGCTGTCTCATCAGTTGTCGAATATGTCTGGGAAGTTGAAAAAGCACTTCATTTTTGTTGATAGTATCACTTGCTTCCTCTACAGCATTTTGTAATTGATCAATGATCGAAGAAACAGCAGAGTTGATGCCATTGATACTATTTAAATCATTTAAATCAATAGCCGAGTTTAATATGATCTTTTCGTAAAGTAGCCAATCTGTGATATTTCTTGTGGAAGTGAGGTCATTTTTTAAGGCACACCGAGCTGCGATTACTAGAAGATAATCAGACGAAAGTTCATGAAAAAGTCTAGGGTGATAAGTATTGTAGTTGTGGGTAAGGCAATGCGACTAAGCTATCGAAGCGTTCTATCCTGTTGGGACAATAGGTGTACTCGTCAGGTGTATAGATTGCAACAGGATGATTTAAAATGTAATCTTGAA